CCCCCCCCCCCCCCCCCCCCCCCCAAACCAGGGCAGTCCCACTGACTGAAGTGTCTTTAGGCCATTCCCAAAGGGAGGAATATTAACATGTTCTTATGCTCAGTAGAATTGTAAAAGGGCTGATTTACCAATGTCATCCTCATACTGTGCCGGAACAACTTAGGGGGAACTGCTGCTTTTTCTTTCCTCATCTTTACTATCATCATTTTTTCTCTACTTTTTATGTTTGTCACTCTCTTATGAACTGCTATTTCCGGGGTGCCTTGATTGTCGAAGCAGACTTTGTGCTGTTGTTTGGACTTCTCTGTTGAGATCCACCACTTGGTGCTCATATTATGACGTTATGCAGTTGCGAGTGCCGAAAAACCTTACTAAAACTAAGATCCAGGCCCAATGCAATGTACCGTCCGGCCCATTTGGCCTATGGACAGTCTTCTTCTCCTGTCCTCGCAGACGGGAATGTCATTGAGTCCCGAACTTAGCACAATATCCTGTCTGCATAAAACTAAATAGAGCCAGCCACTCGTCCCATTTCGTGTCGTACGTCTAAGACGACACTAACACATAATTAAGGTACACATTCCTTTCTGCTTTCCTTTCTCACCACACAATTAATTATACAAATGCCAATACGTTATGGCGATCAAATACTCCCATAATGGAGGAATTATTCCAATCCCCATGGCTGCTCTCTCGTCCCATCTTTCCACTCCCCACTATACGTTCTTATACTATCTCTGACCGTCTAGACTCCCCACCATTTCTATTTTTCTACTCTCCTTCTGTCCTGCTCTCTCGATCCAGCTGCACTTCTGGTTCGGTTTCTCCTCATTCACGCGCTCTCATCAGACCTCTACACCCACCCACCCAAAACCACCCCCTTCCCAAATGTCATCATATCACCTGTTGCCCCTTCTCATCACCTCCTCATCCACTCTCTTTCGTCCTATCCCTTCTCATCTCCTGTATTCCTTTTCAGCTCATCTTATACCCTCTGCCTCGTTGCATCTATGCTCATGCCCCCCCCCCCTCACCAACTTCCGCAATAATCCCTTTTCATCTTCTTTCTTCCGAACTATCTCTAGTCATTGTTCCCGCCCTTCTCCCTCCCAAAATTGCGTCTCAACACCTCATCAATTTGCATCGCTGGTAGCCATCTTATTCATTCATTTTACGACCCTGTCTCATGTATTTCCATTTCATCTCATATTTTCTCACCCGCTTTCATGCATCTAATCTCTCTCTCTCTCTCTCTCTCTCTCTCTCTCTCTCTCTCTC